AGCGCGGGGGAAGGAAGAGGGAAGGCGCGGGAAGGCCCTGGCGTTAATTACCGATATCGATGATACATGTTGTGACGTCACGAATCATTGGGGACCGTTATCGCCGCCGCCACCGCAGACCCCGCGTCCACCCCAAAATGCGTTGCGGACCACCGCCGCTGTGTGCGCTATCTCATATATTTACCATCTTTCTCTCGATGCGTTACCATTGTAGCGGATTGCTACATATAATGAATGTAGGTAATTGATTGCACACGATTTCACAAGTAACAATATTCGTTTATTAGTACATACAATATCAAATCGCGACAATATAATAGAATGATGTCGTGTTTAGAACGATTGACGAAAGAATATTATGAGAGTGTATCTAGATAGGCAATTGAGTATAGTGTTCGTGAGAACGCGCCATCTGGTCGCGGAGTATATCTAACTGAGTATAAGGCATGAAGTACCTAAAAGAGTGTGAATGTATGTGTGTGTGTATATGTAAGTGTGAATGTGTCTCCACATGTACTCGAAGTGATTACAGATGAATAGGCGCGAATCGTTTTTTAGGTTTATCACCTTTCTTTTTTGGCATATAGTGCGCCACAGCCATGTTTTCTGCTGCTTCCTTTTCAGATACTTCTTCTGCGATAGGTAAGAAGGGGCGAGTTTCAGCCTTTCTGTCGATAGTGCAACGTCACGGCTGTTCATGTGGATCACGTAAATTTGTTCGTTTTTCCTGCGTATCACTTCGTGTGGTCCGGTGTAAGAATGTTGGAGTGATTTTCGGATGTCATCTTCCCTGACGAAAACGTATGTGGCCTGTTCTAGTTGCTGTTGTCGAAAGGCTGTCCGTTTTCCATGGTGATGCGTTGGTTGTGGACGGAGTTATAGTATGGGTTTACGAAGTGCCATAACGAAGGTTTCCGTGTTTTCTGTCGGATCTAGGTTTTCTAGAAATTCTCTGGGTACTCTCAGCAGTGCGCCGTAGACTAACTCAGCTGGAGAGCATTTCAGATCTTCTTTCAGACATGTGCGCAGGCCTAGCAGTACTGTAGGCAATAGGTCTAGCCATTGTCTTCCGTCTTCGTGGCAGGTTATCGCAGTTTTAAGAGTGCGGTGCCATTTCTCAATCAAGCCGTTTGACGCTGGATGATAAGGAGACGTTCTGGTCTTCTTGCTGCCCAGAAATTTCGAGAGTGCCTGGAAAAGACTGGCTTTGAATAGTTTGCCTTGATCAGTGGTGATAACGGCAGATGTGCCGAAGCGTGCCCAACCGTCAATGAATGCTGCAGCAACTGTTTGCGCAGCCATGTTGGGGAGTGGAATGGCTTCTAGCCATCTGGAAAAGCGGTCAATCATGGTTAAACAATACTTACATCCTCTTACCTCTGGGAGAGAGCTGATGAGATCAAAGTGAACTTGGTAGAATCGTTGGTCCGGTGTTGGAATCTTTTGCGGAATGTTTTTGGTGTGCCATTGGATTTTGTTACGCTGGCACTGAAGGCAGGTACGTGGTCAATGAATAATGTCTCTGTTGATTTCGGCCAAACGAATTTTTGTCCAATTTGATGTTTGGTGACTCTGGGGTATGCTATTCCATGCACGGCGTCGAAGATTCGTTTTCTTAGAGTTTCTGGGACGTAAGATTGTATAGCGCCTTTTGAGATGTCGCAGTAAAGTGGTGTGGTTGAGCCTGGTGAATTGTGAATTCTTTTAACTGTAAAGCTGATTTGCCTTTGAGAAGTTCTTGGTGCTCTTCATTTTTCGCTTGTTTTTTTGGATAGTTCTTCTGTAGTAGTAATGACTGAAACTTGGATAGCACTGATACGTGATAACGTGTCAGGAACTATTTACCTGTCCAGCAATATGTATAATATTTGTAGTGAATTGAGCAATCAGATCTAGCTGTCGAGCTTGTCGAGTTGACGCTTTGTCTAATCGCTGTCTGAATGCATGGGTTGTGATTTATGATCAGTTCTGATAGTGATTATGCGACCTTGAAGTATGTCTTCAAAATATTTAATACTTTCGTAGATCACTGGAAGCTCTCGATCGTGCTACCAATTTCTTTTGTGTATAGGAGAGTTTTTTTAGAATAGAATGTTATAGGTGACAATTGATTATTGCTCACCTGTTCTAGTGAAGCTCCTATGGCAGTGTCCGATGCGTCAGTGGAGAGAAATAATGTTGCTCCCTCGATCGGGTGTGCCAGTAGAGTAGCATTTGCAAGTTCCGCTTTACAGGTCTCGAATATGGCTATTCTCGGCATTCCAAGGCACAAGTCTTTTATCATTTTTCTTACTGTCTTTTAGTAGCTCATTCAGCGGTTTTTGATTTTTTGCTGCATTTTTGAGGTGATGACGATAATAGTTTAACATGCCAAGAAATCTATGGAGTTGAATTATGATCTCAGGTCGTGTAAAATTGGTGATTGCTTTTACCTTGTCTGCCCGAGATTTGATACCGTCGCTGTTGATCTCGTGTCCAAAAAATTATATGTTCCTCTGCCTGAATTTGCACTTAGCTGGATTGATCGTGATGCCTGCCTTCTGGAGTCGTTAGAAGACCTGACGTAGATTCTTTTTGTGTTACTCCTCGTCAGTTGAGGTTACGAGCACGTCGTCTACGTAAGCGAAACAGCATTCTAAGCCTTGTAAGACCTGGTTCATGAGTCGTTGGAAGGTTTGTGTTGCATTTCGTAGGCCGAAAAGCATGGTGACGAATTCGAATAGACCAAAGGGCGTAATTACCGCCGTCTTTGAAATGTCTTCCTCGAGGACCGGCATACCTGGTGGTATGCTTTGACTAGATCAAATGTGGACAATATATGTTTATCGTGCAGAATGTTTGCGAGGTCATGTATGTGAGGCAACGGGTATCTGTCTGGGGTCGTCACCGCGTTTAGGCCTTGGTAATCCCCGCAAGGTTTCTACACTCCAGGTTGCTTCTTTGGTATCAGATGCAGTGGTGCTGCCCAAGGGCTATTGGAAGGTCGGCAGATGTCGAGCTGTACCAAATTTGCGAATTCTTCTTTTGCAATTCTAAGTTTTTCTAGCGGCAGTCGTCGCGGTCGACTGGCAACTGGAGGATCTTTAGTTTCGATGTGATGGAAAATTCCATGTGCCCTGTTTGCCGTGGTTTCTTGGTGATTCTCGGATAATCCGCCAAAATGTAATGGTATATTAAAGTGGAATCGATTGTTTTGATGGAAGCGTGGGCGATTTGTCTTTTAAAACCTGGGACATTTAATTGCATTAGCTCGATAAGACGCTTACTTTGGATGTCCACTATAAAGCCATAGTATTTGAGCAAGTCTGCTCCAATGACCGGACGTGAGATGACGGCCACCGTGAATTGCCACGTGATTGGTCTGCGTATGCCAAAGTCTAGCGTAAGTATTTTTTATCCATGCGTCTCGACCTGTGAGCCGTTGACGGCGCATAGAACGAGTGGCATCGGTAAGATAGTTTTCTTGATTCGCGACGATGGTAGGAGTGAAATACCCACGCTAGTGTCGACAAGAAAGGTTAGGCCTGTAATTCTGTCGGTAACGTGGAGCCACAGGGATAACTCGAGACCGTCGTTGGTGGTTCCAACTGCCGGCGGTCTTACTCGTTTCACTAACAAATTTTTGCATGTGCGCTATGCACTTGTATGCCTGGTCGCCAAATCTTTGATGGTAATAGTACTGACCTGCCTCATTCGTTGCGGTATTGTGTGTGTTGCTCGGTCGTCGTGTGTGGCTTCTGCTGCGGGACCTTGAGCGGGATCCTGTCCGTCATGTCCATCCGGATTAACAGTGTGATCATTTTTTTTGCTTGGCCAATTGCTGTACGGTGTCTCGTAGATCCGTTGACGTCGCTTGAACTGCGTCGATGACACCCTGGGCATTTGTTGGCGTCGCCTGTGCTGCATGGATGTCCACCAGTGAAGAGTGTTCGGCGCATTCCGCTAACTTATTTAGATTAGTGTCGTCAAAAATCAACAGCATCTCCTGGATGCGGGTGGCATGCGTTGTTGCCAGAGGGTGCGTTTTCTCCTGTAAGAGATCTCATTTCCCGTAGGAGTTGCGAGGGTTTCTTGTTACCGAGCTCGATGTCTGATAGAAGCGTCCGCATTTGCTTCTCCTGTGAATCTGTGAATCTAGTAATTAAAGCCTCTTTAATTTTATCGTATTTATCGCTTTCCCCGATGGATTATCCAGGATGTCGGAAATGGTCGTCAAGGTGACTTCGTCGAGATGAACAAACGACCGCGTAGTATTTGGCCTCATCCGATTTTAGGCAAAAAACTCGGATTCGAGTAGTGAGAACCATGGCTTGGAGTGGTTTCTCCAGAACGTGACCAGTTTTAGGAATTCTGCCCCAAACAACGGATGTGGTGACACATCGTCCGTGGTACTTGATTTGGCGTCTGTGAGTTCTCTTCTCCCGTGAGTGCGTTGCTCGGCAGAGCCACTTGGTGGCGGCGTCCTTGATAGCGACATGCTTGCACGTGCTCACTGTATGAGTAATAATGACGAGCTTTTGCTGATGTAATCTGTTGATCACGTTGAGTGATCGCGTCTTCAGATCACGTCGGGGTCACTAATTATGTAGCGATTGCTATATATAATAAATGTAGATAATGGATTGCACTTGATGTAACAAGTAACAACGTTTATTTAATACCTAATACAAAATCTTATTGTGAAATCGTAAAGTAATGATATCGTGTCTAGGACGGTTCTAGAAGGAATATAATGTTCTCGAAAGAAGCTTGTTCTCAAAGCAAGAAGTAAGGTCCTCGAAGGAGGTATCTAGGTGGGAGATTGAGTATCGTGTTTCCGAGAGCGCACCATCTGGTCACGGAGTATGTATGCTACGTGAGTATACGACATGAAGTGTAGCTGAGAAAGTGTGTGTATGTAAGTGTGAATGTGTCTCCACACCTTTTATTGCCTAAGACAGGCCTTGCAGGTCGAAGCAATCGTAAACGAATATGAACTCAACCCTTTGCGTGTATTGCGTGACGACAGTGACAAGTCGACTGCCGCTTGCCGGTGTATCTGCGTATCTTCGTCCACATAACGTAAAATGCCGTAGCAATAAGCACTAAACTGTATAATATAATTAGAATAAATTGATAATTATTTTAGCAATCTGACTTCTCTAAAATTGTTAAGACTCTATCACTGTAACTATAAATGTAAAAAAAATGTATTAAAATTCATTTATTTTTCGTATATCTCGTGATTATGTGTATATTCAATATGACTGCAGTAAAATCAATTTCCATTTCTAATTTGAGATAATAGCGATAGTTGATTTCCAATAAGACTGTCATTCCGTATTGTACACTATTTTATATCTTTTTGTATATTCTACTATACTATAACTAATTTCGAATTTTTCTCTCGTTTGAATAAGATATTGTATCCAAACAAATAAAGTTAATGTATTATGTTAGTTACAAAAAATCAATTTAAATAAAAACTATAGTAAATTTTATGTACCGAAGTTTTTAAATAATATAAATAAATAAATGTAAAACATTTATATTGTATATTCTCTAATAAATATCTATAGTTTTGATTGATTTAAAAGTAAGGAATATTTTTCAGTTATGACACCGGTATAAGGAATATTCTAAGCATTTTGAAGGAAAAATTTAAAATATAATTACAATTTCTTATTCAAATTTGATCAAATTGCACAAAAAAGGGTTCAAAAGCATTTGGAAAACTAAAACAAACTTGTATATCAATATTTGAAAAGAATCCTCGAGACACTTGTAATTCTTATTAGAAAAAGAAATGCAAGTTTCCTTAAAAGTTGATATTTTTCATTAATGTCAAAGAATTATTCTTAAATGGTGTGTTTATGACAAATTATACCAGCATGAAATATCATTTTTGTTTAACATTAATTAAATTAAATCGACTTTCAATTATTTTAATGCAAAGTTATCTATTCTAACATTTAATGCTCCTCTATTGTTATTCAAAATTGTGACATTAGAAACGAAGAAAATAAAAAATAAATGCAAGTTGTATTTAAATACTATTCAATAACAGATCCTTTTTTTATTCCTGTACCACATTGCATTAAAACTTTCTTTAATTTTTGCTTTCGCCAAATATCAAACGTATCCATCATCCTTTAAATTTCAAAAGTGTACACTGTTTCAGCCACAAAAAACAAATCTAATATTTTACAATCGATAACATAGATAAAATGTACTATTTTGTGTTTGTGACGCTGGTGTCACTTGTATGAAAGGCTTGCTTGCCAAGGCGGCATGTAATAACGATGATTATCTTGATTTTAATAATTTAAATTTTAGTGTTGAGTCGAATTAAGATTTGTTCGAAGCGGGCGATAGGCGATACTCATAATCCGATAATTTATGCGTTTGATTAGATGCGTGCAGGTAATTCGCATTTGATGCGACGTTGAGTAATTTCTCGCAGCAGTTAAAAGGAATGTGTATAGCAAGCAGCAACGAGACTGGCTCGTCGGAAACTCAGGTAATTTTCGCGCACTGAATGCCCTGGCGATACGTGTATATCAGTAATGTTACGTGACACAATACGGCAGTGATACGCGACGACAATTCGATTTGGTCCGCAATTAATGTTCGGGATAAGATTCGTTAAGAACGAATATCGATAGATGATCCGTATTGATCGGGATCGGGAAGCGAACTGAACTTTCGCACGCGGAACGTGTGCGCGATAGTCAACTTTTCGGTGGTCGCGGAAGGGGGGTCGCGTGCCACTTGAAATAGATAGCGTAATTAGAACAGGAGCTATATTCATGTTTTGAATGGTGATGATTCGGTGTCGATGAACTGTTTATTTGCCATCTCCGAGAATATATTTAAATTAACGATGATTCTGGAAATATATACCGAAAACTATTTTCTTGTTTCAAAGAGAAATTAAATTATATTTATTTTTATACATAATTAATTTGATAAAATAAACAAAGTGAACAGCGAAAAAGAGAGAGTCGACGCATAATACATTTAATTAAAGATAATAGTCATAGATATATAAAATAAGAAGAAGTAGAACGGCGTATATTAATATATAAAACAATTACAAGTTTCGGCTGCTGGATTGAGCCCTCCTCAGATGTAAAATAAAATGAATATAATAAAAAAAGTAATAAAAGACTACATAAAAAAATAAATAATAAATAAATAAAGTTCAGTGTTGCAACATTTTTAACGCGCGGAAATCAGCAATTATGATGGATCTCGACGTGTAGCCTAATGTTGTATATGCGATAGGGCAGTCAAAACGATGTT